CCCCCCCCGCCGGACAGGCAGCGGGGAGGGGCTGCCACCACCTCCTGCATCCGCGGGGCAGGGTCACGGGTGGGATGCTGGGACCTGCGCCTGCCTCAGTTTCCCCACTCCTGGGTGCGGCTGCTCCCCCCCCCCTCCCGCCCCCGGAGGGATGCTGGTCCCCGGGGTGCAGGGGCCGTAGGGCTCCCCGCCTCTCCGGGATCCCCTTCCCGAGCTCCCCCCCCCACACACCCCGTGAAACGCAGCTCTGCGGCCGGCGGGGCCCCCAGTCCCTCGCCAGGGCCCGAGGTGGGGAAGGCTCCGAGCTCCGGAACAAAGAGCCGGGGCTCGCCAGGAGGGGCTGCCGCCAGCCCCACGCGGGAGGCTTGGGGGGCCACGGGGACCACGAGCAGCGTGGCCGGGACAAAGCAGCCCCACGGCTGCCTCCGCTCCCCCCAGCCTGGTTTTCCCGCTTGTCCTCCCCCCTCCGCCCCCCTGCTAAAAACGTGGCTCCGGGCACCATTTACATGCGAGTCCGAATCCTGCGGGGGGGTGGGGGGTGTAACCCTCCCAGCACCCACCGGGGATCCCCCAAAGCAAGGGAATACACAACCCCAAGGCCACGGGCAGCCTGGCAGGGGTGGCTTGGGAGCCCACCCTGGGTGCGAGTGGAGGGCCTGTGCTGCCGCAGCCCCCCCTCAGCCCCCCTGGGAAGGTGCTGGGAAACATGAGCACCCCCCAAATGATGCATTTGCACCCCAAGTCTGAGGCATCGAGGGTTTGGTGCTATTCCTCCCCGTGTTCATCCCGCACGCCTCCGCAGAGGTGCTGCTCAAGAGTGCCGGGGTGCTGCCACACCGGGGGGGATGTGGGCTGGGGGGGGGTCCCTGTGTCCTGGAGGGTCCCAGCTGATGGGAGCCGCTGTGCCTCGCAGCGGGCTGTCGCAGGAGGCAGGCAGCGTGGAGCAGCTCTCCCTGCACTGCGCCGAGGGCTCGCTGGAATGGCTGTACCCCACGGGGGCCCTTCGCCTCCGCCTGGCCCCCCGCCTGCCCCCCCCTACCGCCGCCGTCAAAGGCAGGAGCCCCCAGCATGTCACCGCCTGCGTCAAACCCGCCGGCACCTTCCGGGGGGCTCAGCTCTACCTGGAGAGGGAGGGAGTGCTGGAGCTGCTGCTGCCGGAGGCCCCCCGCCCTCGCGTCCGCTGCTTCAGCTGGCTGCCCCGGGAGAAGGTGGCTCTTTTCCTGCAGGCCACCCCGCACCGCGACATCAGCCGCCGCATCGCCGCCTTCCGCTACGAGCTGCGGGGGGACTGGCTGGCTCGTCCGGCGCTGCCCGCCGCCAGCTTCACCGGAGAAGGTGAGAGCCGAGCGTCCCGGGTCAGCCTCCCTCAGTTTCCCCAGGGCTGCCTCCGCCTCCCTTGCTGGGGTGTCCCCCGTCTGCACAGAGGTGAAGGGATGGAGGGGCCGGATCCGGGGTGGTCACCCCAAGGCCGGTCACCGGCAGCCACCGCGGTGACGGGTGGTGACGGGCTGTGCTTGGCCGTTGCAGGGGCGTGCCGGCCGTGCAACGACACCGAGATCCTGATGGCCATTTGCACTAGTGACTTTGGTAAGTGCAGCCCCCATGGGTGCTGGGAGGGTCCTGGGACCCCAGGGGAGGGAAGGAAACTCTAACTGGGGGGGCAACAGCCCCACTGGCAGCCCTGGTCGCCCCCTCCTGGGCTGGCCTGGCTTGGGCTGTGGCCATCAGTGTCACAGAGGATGCTGCGGGATGGGGATGGGGACGGGGATGGGAATGGAGATGGGGATGGGGATGGGGACAAGGATGGGAAAGGAGATTGGGATGGGAATGGGGATGGGGAGAGGGATGGGGACAGGGACAGGGACACACTGATACCCCTCCCTGCATTCCCCCTGCAGTGATCCGTGGCAGCATCCGGAGCGTCTCCAATGACGTGGAGCTGCAGGAATCCGTCATCGGGGTGAGCGCCGCCCGCATCCACCGCCAAAAGTTCCCCCTCTTCCAGGCAGGGGGGCGGCCGGGGCGGCCAGCGGGCAGCATCCGCACCCCGCTGCGCTGTGGCGTCAAGCCAGGCCCCGGCACCTTCCTTTTCACGGGGTGGCTGCATTTTGGCGAAGCCTGGCTGAGCTGCGCGCCCCGCTATAGGGACTTCCAGCGCATCTACGAGGGGGCACGGCGCACGCGCCAGAACCCCTGCGAATTCCCCGTGGACTGAGGGGCTCGGGGAGGGCAGCCTGGCCCTGCGGGTGCTGGGGGCCTGGGGTCCCACAGGCAGCGAGAGCATCCCCGGGGGGATGCAGGGGCAGCGTGCCAGCAGGGATGGTGCCCAGAGGGACCGCAGCACTTCGGTCCTTGCTGGGTAGTCAGGCCCCAGCAGCACCCGCCACCGGACTGGGGGGGGTCCCGGGAAAATCCTGCCGGAAGGGAAGGGATTTTCCCAGGGCGCACTTGCCAGTGGTCCCCAAGGGACCTGCCCAGGTATGGGGTGCAGCGGCATGGGGCAATGGGTTAGGGGCTCCCAGGGGACTGGGGTGCTGCAGGCTCGGGGTGCTGCATGCTCAGGGGATGCTGCGGGCTCGGGGATGCTCTGGGGCACAGTGGGTCCAGCACGATGGGGGCAGCTGTCTCCCCCCGGGAGGGCTCGGTGGTGGGTGGCCGTGGCAGTGGGTGGCCGTGGTGACAGGGCTGGGAACACGGTGTGGTTGCGGAAGGGCCAGGAGGTGGATCTGCAATGTCGGGGGTGGAAAGGGGAGCAGGACAGTGGTGAGCCTTGCCCTGGCCCTGCCTGCAATGTGGGGCTCGGGCAGGAGCCGTGGGGTGGATGCCGAGGAAGAGGAGCGAGGCCGAAGGGAGCGAGGGGGATGGCAAGGCGGGAGGAAGGCTGGCGCAGGGACCAGAGGTGTGCCTGGCACAGCTGGGGCAGGACCAAAGCGCCGATGCAGGAAGGTGCTGGAGGAGCCGGGAGAGGTCAGGCAGTGCCACCCATCACCGCCAGCCAGGGGCTGTGGCCTCGCGGCGGCTGCCAGGTCCCGCTGTGCTGGGTTGCCAGTGGCAGGGCACGCCGTGCCAGCCGGGGGGAATTTTTGACTGTGGGGGTGGGGGGCATCATATGTGCACTAAAGTTATAATGATACCAAATTTGTGACTTTTTTTATAAACTAAGCTGTATTTGTAGTGTGCGCGTTGTGCGTCTCCTTTTTTAAAAAAAGCTGAGCGGGATGTTCACCAACAGGCACTGCGGGTGAGTGCCGGTGCCGGTGCGTGCCAGGGTTCAAAGCTCTGCCTCCCCCGTGCCAGCTCCAACCACTGACCCTACCTCCTGGGGGGCTGGAAAGAGCCCTACCCTTTATATATCTGTATGTAGAGAGAGATATATTGCTATTTCTAAATGCTGCCTCCCTGGTGTCCCCTGGAGTGGGTCGCTTTGGGGTTCCTCGCCCTGGGTATCGCCAAGCGAGTGGGGCCGGGGCTGGGGGCGGGTGGCCCCATGCCGGGTGGGTGACCCTGCTGGCGGAGCCGCTGTCAGGGCCGATTCTCGTCAGAGCCGCCGGCCACAAGGCCTCATTGTGCCGGGCTGCGCAGTGCCGGCTTCCCAGCCCTGCTCGCTCCCGCCCTGCCACTGTCCCCCTCCACGGGGCTCCAGTCCCCAGCCTCTGGGTCCCACTCCGGGCTGCGCAGGCATCCCCGGACAGTGGTGAGGGGGATGGGACCTTGGCTGGGGATGGGGCACGGGACACCCAGACAGGGATGGGACATGGAACCCCCAGCCAGAGATGGGGCACGGGACCCCCAGCCATTGATGGGACAGAGGACCCCCAGCCATTGATGGGACAGAGGACCCCCAGCCAGGGACATTGCCCCGCTTCGATGATGCTCACAGGGGCTCAGCGCTGGAAAAGCTCAGCCCCTGAGCCCCCCTCCAAGTCACCCAAATCACCCGAGCCGGGGTCATGGCACAGGTCAGCTTGTGCTTTAATACCTTTTCAATATTATTTCAGTAACACCTTTTCAAATACCACTAACCAGGCTGAACCACCAGGTATTTGGTGCCCCCGCTGACCATAATGTGCTTTTCCTTGCCGAGAAACCATTTCCAAATGGTGCTGCAGGCTTCAGAGTTTAATTAAATATATATATCTCTCTGTATGTGTGTATAAAATGATCTGGCTGTGATAAGATCCTGCCTGCGAGCTCGCGGCTGCAAGCCTGCCCTGTGGGTTTGATACGCAACACATGTTTTCCCTTGAGAAGAGTTTGATGCTTATTTTATGCTTTACTGCCAAAGGGCTGGTGCTCATTTTGGGGCCGGGCTGGGCCCGAGAGCAGGATCCGGCCCTGGAGGAGACCGACCGATGCTCCACACCGGGCTCTCGAGGATGCCAACAACCCACTGGGATTTTGATGGTGGGCAGGACCCGAACAAGGCAGGGGGAAGGGGGAAGGAGTGGGAAACCCAGTGGAGGAGGAAAAATGAAGCTGGAAAAGCAATAAATGAGGTGCAAAGGGAATTGCACTGCCCACGGCATCCTCTGTACGCCCCGGGGATAGAGCACGGCTGCTCCGACCACGCAGTGATCCAGCGCATTCCTCTTGGCTAAATTACGGCATTTAACGTGCCGAACATCCGGTGGCTTTCTGTCCAGCAGCAGAATCTCTTGTTTTTCTTCAAATCTGTTTATTTGGCCAAACCAGCTCATTCTGCTGCGGCGGAAAGGGCTGTTATTCTGCTCGTTCTCCGCAGCAGAGGTTTTTGTGCTGTTTTCAGTGCCCTCTGCCCTGTGTCAGGTTGGGTCGGCCGCCCTCGCTTCCCGCGGCTGCTGGCTCCCGCGGCAGCTGGGCCCCAGCCAGGGTGCAAATGCTTCCTACGGGAGCACCCCACAGGGGGGACCGGGCAGCCAGTGCCTCAGTTTCCCCACTGTAGGATGGGGATAACAGATTTTCTCTGCTGCTCGGGGCTGCTGTGGTACCAGGTAGCATCCCGCATCCCCACCTCCCTGGGGCCGGTCACCTGAGCATTTCCCCAAAAGCAGAGTCTGGCCCCGGCCAAGCCAAATTCCTGCCTGGCCTCTTGGCACAGATTATGGCCACAGAGGGTAAAAACACAATGAGACAAACTCCATCCCGGTTAATATTTCCTTCGCAGGATGGAAAATGTGGTGGGAGGCAGTGTGGTGGCGGCAGGGGGGAGAGCAGGCTGGGGGCCACAGTGTGCCGGGGGTTGCTTTGGGCAGACCAGATGGGAGCTGGGGGTCTCTGGAGGAGCAGTCGGAGCCCAGCTGGGCTCAGAGAGAAGGGTGCAGTGGCACCCTGCGAGCCCAGGGAAGGGTGTGTGTCCCCCCCACAGGCACTGCGATGCCCACCTGGCATGGCTGGCTGCGGCATCCCTGGGGATGGTCCAGCCAGACTCGCTCCAAAAGCCCCCCACCCATCCATCCCCTGCCCCCCCCGCCGTGAAGGTGGGTTTGGGGACACGACGGAGAGCAGCGCCCCAAAACCAGCTCCCTCGGTAGAAATGTTCCCAGGGAGGTGCCTGGGGCTCCTTATCCTGTGGGATCAGCCCCACTGTAGACCCAGGTGTCTGGGCAGGGGGACACACACGTCCCAGCCCAGGGAACCCTCTGGGAACCGTGGAGCCCTTTGGTCACGCTGCCGATGGGTGTCCACACTGGGACGGCAAAACGCAGAGCAGTGGCACTTGCAGGGTGTTCCCCGGTCCCTGTCCCCATCCCTGTCACACAAAGGGAGCCGTCGTTTCCCGCCATTTCCCCCCGCCCCGGCCCTTCTCCCCCCTCTCCTGTCCCCTTCACCCTCCTCCTTCCCGGCTGCCGGATAAAAGCCCAAACATGTGAATCGCGGGGCACAAAGGGGAGGCACAAAGGCAGCCGGTCCCCCTCAGCCCTCCCTGCGGCCTCCGGCCCCAAGTGGGGACCTGCAGGCCTCACGTCTGCCTCGGGGATGTCCGGGCAGCCCTCCCTGCCCTTCCCACAGCACCCTAGAGCCCAGGAGCTGCGGTGGGGCAGGGGGATGCCCCTAGGACCAGGGGGTCCCCCATAGGGTGAGGATGATGCTTCTGGGGTTAGGGGATGCCTCATAGAGTCAGGATGATGTCCCTGGGGTTAGGGGATACCTCATAAGGTCAGGATGATGCCCTTGGGGTTCATAGATACCCCATAGGGTTGGATGATGTCCCTGGGACTGGGGGTGCCCCATAGAGTCAGGATGATGCCCCTGGGGCCAGGGGATGCCCGGCAGCAGGTAGGATGGGGCAGTTTGCATGTCCGCATGGGGCAGCAGAGAAGGGACCGGGGGGCACAGCCCAAGCCCCGGGCATGACAGAGCGAGCTCTGCCCCACAGCCCTCGGTGAGATGAGAAGTGAGAGCCTGGTAACCCCTGAGGACACCGACACCCCCCCCAACTCTGCCATCCCTTCGGGAGCTGCACCCCAAAGCCTGCCATGAGGGTCTGCTTCGAGCCCCCTGCTTTGGCCAGGCCAAAGCCAAGCCAGCATCATCCCTGTGCCAGGGAGGGATGCTCAGGGCCGGGGCAGGACCCTGGCCCGCAGCGGGGCCCCCGCGGCCCCGCACCCCAGCTCTGTCCCATCCAAGGGGCCTGCGCCCTGCAGGCTGGGCTGCCGACAGCTGGCGGGAAGGAGCTTTCCCAGCGCATAGTGACAAATTCCTGGCGGTCAGGGCTGCTTTGCAACCGCCGCGGCCCCGGCGGGGGGAAGCTGCCCTGGAAAGAGGCGGATTAAAAGCTCTTTGGCTCCGGCGGCGCATCCCAACTGGTCCCCTCGCACGGCCACCTGCTTGGCCCCGGCACCGTGAGATGTTGCCCAACACCCCCGGGGTTGGGGCAGAAGGGGATGCTGCCACTCCCTCCGCCAAGTCCCAGGGGCCCAGCAAGGAGGGCTCAAGCCCTGCCTGGGAATTGCTTCATTAATTAATTTGCTCTGCAGCATCACAGGGGGCCTTGGGCTGTCCCAGGGGCCAGCTCATCCCCAGGGACCATCCTCCTCTGCAGCAGCAGCCCCCCGGCCCCACTCTTCCCCCAGCTCCTATTTCTCCTGATTTTCTGCTCACTCTCAGCCTTAACTGGCTCCACCTGCCAGCGAACACCAGAAAATCGGAGCAATCCCCGTGGCCCCCGATTTGGCTGCAGCCACGCTGGACCCTTTGGCGGGGTAGGGAGGGGAAACGGCACTGGGCAATATTTCTGGGCTCTACGCAGTGCGTAGGGATGGCTTTTCCTCCTCAGTGGAGCCCCATTGCTGCTCAGGGGCACTTGTTAAACAGGGTCTGGATGTCGTTAAGCACCCCGAGCTGCACGCCTTGGTTTGAGGGTAGAGCACGCGTGTGGGTGCGTGTGCATCCTCATTCCAAGGGCAGAATATTTGGTTCCCACAAATAAGGGGGAGACTGGAGCAGAAACATGAGCTCGCCTTTGGCAGCTCCTCCCTTGGCTGCTGCCTGCATTGGCTCATCAGCAAAGGGGGTCCCCAGTCCCACTCCCCTGCACCCTGAAGCCCTTCCCAGGCTGGGGCTGCCCACAGGGTTTCCTCCTTGTCACACCCGCCATCACATGTGGGTGACATCCCCTGGGAGCCCCAGGCATGCGAGGAGGCCGTCGCCCCATGGCAAAGGCACAGGGTGCCGCTGGCTGTTCCACGGACCCCCAGGGCTGTCTCTGAGCTCTTGGGGGACACCCCGATATGGTGCTGGAGGGGAAGCCCCGGGGAGCCCTGCAAATATTGACCCAAAGTCCAAGGGGGGAGCAGGGGAGGAAGGTGACGGCCATGAAATCCCCAGCGAGATGATGATGTGGCAGCAAGCGCCAGCGCGGGCAGGGAAGCTGCCTGCCCTTTGTGCGCCCGCTCCCCTAATTGAGCCATTATTGTTCCTGGGTTTGGTTTGGTTTGTGGGTTTTTTTTATTAATTGTGGGTGGGCAGGAGCTGCGGGAGCCTGGCTGCCCCCCCCGCGCCCCCGGCCCCAGCAGCGCCCCCCTCCCCGCTTCCACACGCTGGAATTTTCCCACAGTCGTCGCTCCCTCGCAGCAGGAAACCCACCACCCGCGCGTCTGCTGCACGCACAGCCGCGAACAACTGTGCACAGCTGTGCGCAAGTGTGAACAACTGTGCACGGCCACGCACAACTGTGCACAACTGTGTACAGCTGCACAAAACGGTGCACAACCATACACAGCCGTGCACAGCTACACACAAGCATGCACAGGTGTGCTCAGCTGTTCACAACTACACACAACGGTGTACAACTGCACGTGACTGTGCACAGCCACGCACAGCCCTGCACAGCCACGCGCACAACTGTCCACAACTGCACACAACTTCACACAGCCGTGCTCCTCCGTGCACAATGGTACACAGCCGCACACAGCTGCACAAAGCCATGCACAGCCATGCACAACCACACACGACCGTGCACGGCCACACACAGCAGTGCACAACTGCGAACGACCATGCACAACCGTGCACGGCCACACACAGCCGTGCACAACTGCGAACGACCATGCACAAGTGTGCACAGCCACGCACGACCGTGCACAGCCGTGCACAACTGCGAACGACCACGCAGAGCCGTGCACAAGGGCA